ACAACCCTCCCATACACAGCGAACAGCTTCCCTTACTACCTCAGGCACTACAGCGCCTTTACCGCGGGGAAAGCCGGGAACGCGTTGCTAAGAAACCCCACTAAACACTGATTAGCCCCCGGAACAGGAATACCCCGCCCACTGGCACTTCGTAGGCTTCTATCAATGAAGACTCCAGGCTCTGTGCAATGACAGCCCGGCTGGTCTACAGGTGGCGCTGCAGTGATGGAGCTACGGCCAAGGGACTGGAGAATAAGGAATCCCGAGGATAGTACTGCACAGCATCCATAGCTCCATGCTGGGAATGATGGATGTGAGGTCATATCCGGCTGTGGGAATCATGGAGGAGGAGGAGCCGGTTCATTTCTCTGTCATGGCGGCTTCCACAGCTCGGAACTAATCCCATAGAAGCGGCTGTGGTGTCCTCCCTCAGTGGAGAGTTCTCTGTGATTTTCCCGCTCAGTCATCACCGGAGCAAGGAGAGCCGTGTGTTATCTGACCGACCATCCTTCCCACACAGGAGACAGTAAGACATCTCTCAGCCTCCTATGCCTATGGGCGTCTGCGTGCCAGGTGTGTGTGGGCGTCTATGTTTCAGGTGTGTGTGGGGATCTGTGTGCCAGGTGTGCGTGGGCGTCTATGTGCCAGGTGTGTATGGGGATCTGCGTGCCAGGTGTGTATGGGGATCTGCGTGCCAGGTGTGTATGGGCGTCTATGTGCCAGGTGTGTATGGGGGTCTATGTGCCAGGTGTGTATGGGGATCTGCGTGCCAGGTGTGTATGGGGGTCTGCGTGCCAGGTGTGTGGGGGTCTATGTGCCAGGTGTGTATGGGGTCTGCGTGCCAGGTGTTTATGGGGGATCTGCGTGCCAGGTGTGTGGGGTCTGCGTGCCAGGTGTGTATGGGGATCTGCGTGCCAGGTGTTTGTGGGCGTCTGCGTGCCAGGTGTGTATGGGGATCTGCGTGCCAGGTGTGTATGGGGATCTGCGTGCCAGGTGTGTGTGGGCGTCTATGTGCCAGGTGTGTATGGGGTCTGCGTGCCAGGTGTGTATGGGGGTCTGCGTGCCAGGTGTGTATGGGGGTCTGCGTGCCAGGTGTGTATGGGGTCTGCGTGCCAGGTGTGTATGGGGGTCTGCGTGCCAGGTGTGTATGGGCGTCTGCGTGCCAGGTGTGTGTGGGGATCTATGTTTCAGGTGTGTGTGGGGATCTATGTTTCAGGTGTGTGTGGGGATCTATGTGCCAGGTGTGTGGGGTCTGTGTGCCAGGTGTGCGTGGGCGTCTATGTGCCAGGTGTGTATGGGGATCTGCGTGCCAGGTGTGTATGGGGATCTGCGTGCCAGGTGTGTGTGGGCGTCTATGTGCCAGGTGTGTATGGGGGTCTGCGTGCCAGGTGTGTATGGGGGTCTGCGTGCCAGGTGTGTATGGGGGTCTGCGTGCCAGGTGTGTATGGGGGTCTGCGTGCCAGGTGTGTATGGGGGTCTGCGTGCCAGGTGTGTATGGGGGTCTGCGTGCCAGGTGTGTATGGGGGTCTGCGTGCCAGGTGTGTGTGGGGATCTGCGTGCCAGGTGTGTGTGGGCGTCTATGTGCCAGGTGTTTATGGGGATCTGCGTGCCAGGTGTTTATGGGGATCTGCGTGCCAGGTGTGTATGGGGATCTGCGTGCCAGGTGTGTGTGGGCGTCTACGTGCCAGGTGTGTATGGGGATCTGCGTGCCAGGTGTGTGTGGGCGTCTACGTGCCAGGTGTGTATGGGGATCTGCGTGCCAGGTGTGTATGGGGGTCTGCGTGCCAGGTGTGTGTGGGCGTCTGCGTGCCAGGTGTGTATGTGGATCTGCGTGCCAGGTGTGTATGTGGATCTGCGTGCCAGGTGTGTGTGGGGGTCTGCGCGCCAGGTGTGTGTGGGGGTCTGCGCGCCAGGTGTGTGTGGGGGTCTGCGCGCCAGGTGTGTGTGGGGGTCTGCGCGCCAGGTGTGTGTGGGGCGTCTGCGTTTTTTTGATCCATGTAATCACGTGTCAAATACGGACTGCCATAAACACCTCTGTGAAAGGGTCCTTACTGACCATTTTTTTTCATTGGCCATGGGAAGGGTGAGTAGACCACTTGAGGGCTTAGTACCAAGATGAAATTAGGATCAGAGGGGGCACAATTTTAAATAACTTCCATGTTTATGGGTGGCATACTGATTATTTTCTTTGGAATAAGTAAATAAAAAGCTATGTATTTTCTTCTGGTGATGTTCCCTATTTTGTACTTCAGATCATAGAAATGGAAAATTCTGTACACCACACACATCCCATCACTGAAGGGCATACAACACTGATCTCTGCTTAATGACAAGAGTAAACTTGCCACTAGTTAGCTGAGGTGTTTATTAGCAGTCAGACGTGTTCTATGGTGCTGTTGCTTGACAACGCAAACACTACCTCGCCCTATGACATTGCTTCATTTTTACTTCTCTCAAATAATAATTAGTGACCCTGTCCATTGAAGGATGTTATATTTAGTCACATTACTATGAGGTTATGGGGATTGAGCTCTCAGAAAGTAGAACAGACCCCGTGTTAGGCGGCTTTATAGTAATTCTTTTAACTAAAATTCCATCTAATTCTAGAATGTTTACTGCACATCCCAGTAAGGCAACTGCCAGTTTATCCTGGGGTATAAAGGCCTTTCCTATTCTGGGTGTTTGGAACGGTCATGTGGTTTAGAGAGTGTGAAAAGTTTAAAGTGGGAGTCCGGGTGGATGAAAACACACAAACTTATGCAGGGATGTGTTCATTTTAAAGCAAAAATTCAGCTAAAAAATATGTTACAAGATAACACTGAAGAGCCCATTTTAAAGGTAAAATACCAAATCCACTTTTTTTCTGTCAATAGATGTCCTCAGTCTGGTGGCTGGTATTGTTTAACCCACTTCCTCTGAGCCCAGGTCATCCTGGATCTGCATCTTCTTTTGACAGGAGAAGCAGCACAGTGAGGAACTCATCTTGCAATCACTTTGCTTTCACCTCCTGTCAACATGCTCTTGTCAGCACATGAACTAATTGGGCTTGTGCTGCTTCTTCCTCTCACACTCCAGTTCTTCTGTACAGGGACTGCAAGGTGCTCATACAAGGTCAAATTCAGGTACCCATATTTTAAACAACATTTAAAGCCTCCTCTTCAGAGTTCTTCAAATTAATGAACTACAACTACTGTTGGAGACCGCAACTGACTGCTTGCAGTTTTCAACGAACTGCGAGGGCTCTGGTGAGCTTCTCTCATAGGCCATTGATTCTTCCTGCCATTCAGTAATTGCCTGCCAATACGAGTTATGGGTAGACCGCTTACTGAGTGTATGCAGGATCCAGGCATTGCACCTGTGATCTGCTGATCGTGGGTGCAATGCCTTACAGGCTGCGGTGTAAAAATAATAAATGTACTTTTTTTTTTTTTTTTCTTGCAAAAAGATGTACATTAATAAATATACACTCACTGGCCACTTTATTATATTCAATTGCTTGGTAACACAAATTGCTAATCAGCCAATCACATGGCAGCAACTCAATGCATTTAGGCATCTAGACGTGGCAAAGACAACTTGCTGAAGTTTAAAACGAGCATCAGAATGGGGAAGAAAGGGGATTTAAGTGACTTTGAACATGACTTTGCAATACATACACAATTTACCATGATTTGTCACAATACGAACCGTACACATACAGAAAAATACAAGCTCATTATATTTCTGAAAAGTATCTTCATGTAGTGAGCTGACTACAGTCTCTGTTGTACCCAGTTTTCCCATGAAGGACTACAAAACACCCCCTTGGTATTTTATGGAGATGGGGAAGGGTGTTCTGTAGTCCAGTGTCGGTGAACTGGGCAGGGCTAACAACATTGTTTAGGAATTCAGTAGAACAGAGCCACTGTGCAGCAGCTCAGACAGAGGAGCTAACTAGGCTCATGAAGGAGGAAATAACATCACTGCTCCCCCTTGCTTCTGTCACTAGTAATTTTAGTGCTAGCTCTAATGGAGGAAGGTAACAAGGGGCCCTGTGCAAAGGCCAATGAGGAAGGTGACAGTGTCTTTTTAAAGGATAAGTTCACCTTTGTAAAAAAAAAAAAAAATAATAATAAATGCACATCCTTTTGCAGGTAAAAAAAATGTGTTTATTTCTTTTTTTTTTTTTTTTTACTGGGAGCCTGAGAAGCATTGCAATGCAGGACTTTTGTAGACTGTCAGTGTAAGCTGTCTTATAACTCATATGGCAATTACTCAATGACAGGAAGAAACAGTCAAATTGTTACTAAACCCACAACAATAAAATCAGTCTTTATATGCAGTAAAGCATGCTTGTTATATCCTCTGCATTGTGTAAAAATGCTGTTTGATCCTGTCTTCTCTGATCATCCCCTTCTTCCAGTGTCCCTCTCATCTCCTCATGAAACATGGTGTGGAGTCACTCTGCACATGCTCAGTTTGGTGTGTATTGCTAGAGAGGGCTTTTTTTTTTGGGGGGGGGGGGGAGAAGAGTGCATGTGATCAGCGCAGGACCAATTGGCTCTGTCCAGACAGAGGTCAGGAGCTTTGCATCCACCTAGAGCAGAACAAACACTCCTCCTACAAGCTTTAACCAGTGCTTGGCTGGACAGTGATAGAACTCACAAGACTGCTCTAAGTGCTGATGAGAAAATGTATTTAGCAGTTTACATTTACTAAAATAATTTCATGTCCATGGTTCTGAGTTTAGTAACACTTCAACTACCTAGAGCACTCAACAGCACCTAGGTAGTTCATTGAGAACAATCATTGAGAGGTATTTGTATGTACTTCTCCCATTCACAGAACTCTGTGAATGAATGACGTGGCCTTGTGGGTGGGGCTCTGCACGGCGACACTCCTTCCTTTTTGAAAAAAAAGAAAAAAGTGATAGGTGCCTGGAGAAGATCCCTAAACTGCTGTCACAGGGGAGTGGGGGGATTGGGGAGCGGCTGCTGCAGCAGGAACATGTTACATGCCCCACCTTAGAAACGGGTGGAACATGTAACATGTTTGTAACAGCGTATACCCAGAGATGGATGCGGTTCAACCATTTTGGCTTCAACCTCCATCTTGGCAAAGGGATTAACCATCCTGACAAATACATTTCTCCCTCATTCTTCCCCCCTTCCTCTTTAGAGAGGCCCAGCGACATTTGGCCAGTATGTGTGTGGGTTGGGAATGTCACAGGAGGGTCTTGGGAGCTATAAAACCCCCCAAGGGAGCCGGGGCCTCCCTGTCCAAAGAACCTGCAAATTGTAACACCTCGTAAGAGATAAGGCAAGCTTTCCCAGGAGTTGAAAGAGATTCCAACCTAATAAACCTAACTCAGCGTAGGTGACAGAATCAGATAAACACTTTTCAAAATCCATTTCTCCCCTATGTCTTATATCTTGGAATATGAGAGACTTACATAAAAACCGAACCTATCGTCAGATTGGCCACGAGAAGGCGAACGGTTTATAGGTCACTCGCATTGTCTCGGATACATAGGAAAACAGAAAAGTAGATCTCGTGAACCGTATAGTGTATAATTTCATAATTCATATCTAATCAATCCTCAGACGTGTCTGCATAATAATCTACCCACGGGTGGAATGTCACTTGTGCAGCTGGAAAGTTATGGGCCAAAATATGAGTTATGGGAGATTTTGGCTCTAGTTGAGGTATCCACTCATACCTACATGCCCTAAACGGGGTATTGGGGCTTGACTTCAGAGACACCCCCTGCTGGGGAACAACAAAATAGGCTGTCAGGCCTAAGAGAGCTAAGTTGAAGACGTCTCCCATTTTAACATCAATACCACCTGGGGAGACCTGTGCCCTTTTGCTCTGAAACTTGGATCTGCTAACCCAGGACTTTTGCAAGTACCTTAACCCTTTCACCTCTCTCTGATATCTCTTTGCTGTGCTGTTGGTCTCTGTATGTATATATATATTGTGTGTGTGTGTATGTATGTATGTATATATATATATATATATATATATATAATCTTAGTTACATCTTTTTCTGTAAATATTTTTATTGCACCCGTTTTGACCTTTTAGCAATAAATCTTTCCTTCTGAAAGTGTTGAACTGTTTCTATAGCTCTGTATTGCAATTTACGAATTCCTGCCTCTAAAGAGAACGCTACTGTGTTTGTTTAACCCTCTGTATAACCGTGTTATACAGACGATTACCTCAAGCATTCTAGTGTTATTGCGGATATCGCCGAGTTTCCTCTTTCTCTGTACAAAAAGTAGGTGGTGGCAGTGTGAAGGGTTAATTGTGTAATTAACCTGACCCAGTAACAATCGCTCAGGCTGCCGGTACATCGATTGTGGTCCAATTAGCTGGAAAATCGTTGTGCTGGGTGTGGCATTGTTACGCACGTGACATCGCGGTTTTAGATCGGTTAGTTCTTCGGTCACGAGTTTGGTGAGAAGGGCTGGGGTCTGCCGCCGCGTTCGTGACAATGTTCCCAAAGGTGAGCTTACCTCTTGACCCAGTGTAAATTCCAGCTAGAGCAACTTGGAGCTTATACAGGGCTGCCTTTCTTCAGTCCCAGGAGCTGAAAGGAGCTACGGGATGCGCTGTGCAGTTGGGGTGGGGGTTAAGTTAACCTGCTGCTGTGCTCTGCGTGGATAAAGCACATATTTACTTTGAAAAGAACATTATAGGAAAGGTCTATGGTAACCTCTATTACGGAGGATGCATGCTCAAAGGTTGCTGTTCTTAGAGCTCTTTTACTACTTGATTGTTCACTGACTTCACAAACAAGTGCATATCAGATATTGGGCCACCTGATGTACATATGCTTGCTGCCTGTTGGTATCATAGTGAAGCCAAAGGGAGGATAACACTAGTATATGCACCAGCTTCTGTATTCCCATCCTGATGGGCTTTCTTTAAAGCAGTGTTTCTCAACTCCAGTCCTCATGGACCCCCAACAGGTCATGTTTTCAGGATTTCCCTCAGATGAAACAGCTGTGGTAATATACTAAGGCAGTGAAACTGATCAAATCACCTGTGCAAAATAATGGAAATCCTGAAAACATGACCTGTTGGGGGTCCATGAGGACTGGAGATGAGAAACACTGCTTTACAGCAACCTTTCAAATCTAGGCTTTGAGAAATGTTGGGATTCGGCAGCTTTTACAAGTTCTGAGTTTAGGATTTTACCAAAGCTGCTTAATGCTTGTGTGCTTACTGCAAACCCTGTCAACCACTAGTATAGATGGCAAAGAAGTTCTAGTCTAATATTTTCCATTTTTTACCCTACCACTAAATACTTGTTTTGCTTTGGCTTCTTTGGTTTGGCTTTGGCTTCTTTGGTTACATCAGACATCCTGCATAAGTTTTCTATTGTTGCCTTTTTTAAAATGGAACATAGCTGTATCTGAGCACCACAAACTGAAAACCTTTTTATTCCATTTTTAATATTTTAAAGTAAACTTGCCCCACCACCATATTCCCTATGAAGTATTTTTGTCGAGAAACCACATTGAAAAACACCCTCCATGGCATTTCCAGCTGTGGGCATCTGATTAACCCCTTGACTCCGACGTAACACAAATATGCGGCCTCACGGACCTGGGCTTTTTTCCGTGGGGCCGCATATTTGCGTACCTGTCTGTGTGCTGGGAGCGCGCCGCTCGGCGCGCTCCCAGCACCAAGACCGCGGTGTCACTGAGAGCCCCGGGTCCCGTTCTAACGATCGGGACCCGGGACTCCCGATTCCGGGTCACGTGATCACTGTGATAGCCTCTGATTGGCTATCACAGTGATCAATCACTGTGCAGCCCGGCCCCCTTGTTTTCTCTCTCTCTATGAATGGAGAAGAGAGATACATTGTATCTCTCGAACTCCTGACAGAGAGATAAAAAAAGTTTGTAAAAAAAAAAAGATAAATAAATATATAAAATAAAAAATAAAGAAAAATACCTAGATCAAGGTTTGATCTAGTTCAGTACCAGGGTTAGTGTTTGGGTCAAAGGTCAGGGTCAAAGGTCAGGGTCAAGGGCAAAGGTCAGGGTCAAAGGTCAGGATTTAAAAAAAATTGGTATCAGTGTCCGTTAGTGTTAATGTCAATGTCAGTGACAGTGTGTTTTATGTAAAAAAAAAATTAAAAAAAAGACAAAAACAAAATGCGCACTATTGTTTCTGGACTGTACTACGGGTACAAACAACAAATAACATACACATATATGGTATCGCTGCGATCGTCAAGAACTGGAGAATGTATTTTGGGTTGTTCTTTGGTGGTAGGTTATGGTCGTAACAAGAAAACACACAGTTAAATTAAAAAAAATTATTTTTTTTACTATTTTTTTACCCAGTTTTCCTTTAATAATAAAAAAAAAAATTAGGAGCTATCCATTACCATTTACCACCAAACGAAAGCCCAATTTGTCCTGAAAAAAACAAGGTATAATCCACCTGGATGTACAAAGTAGTTGTGACGATATGTACGGTTTTACTATCATATGTCAACGTTGCAGAATTGTGCTTAGGCATTTAGATTTGTTTTACCCTTAGGCGTGAAGGGGTTAAGGACAGATAAATCATGTAGCATTTACTTCATGCAATTCATCTGCCTTTAGATCAGGCAGGAGGGCATGCTTAGCTATGAAACAGCTCCTCCTCCCAAGATGAAAGGAGAAAAAAATACCCATGAAGATTCCTGGGATGTATGACATTTTAGCCTAGGCCAAAAACCAGGAAGTAACTGAACAAATGTAAAAACAAAGTTTAAAACAAGTAAATATGATATACCTTCCTATCCATTTATTACTGCTAGCAGCTTGGGGATTAAATATAGTTTATGTTGATTGACATCGTTAGTATTGATTGAGAGTGATAGGAAAGGAAATTAAAATAATAAATGTCTTATACTCATCTGCTGTGTGCAGTGGTTTTGCACAGAGCAGTCCCAAACCTCCTCTTGGGTCCCCCGCCAGCAATCTTGGATCCACCCTAGAGCCTGGAGCGGAACCTGGCTCGGCCTGTCAGCGATCCGCTGAAAGCCTGAGCCAGCCGCTCCCTCACCCTCCATAGCCCAGCGCTCCAATGAGCATGAGGGAAGAGCAGACAGCAGCGACTGACAGTCTCTCTTCTTAGAGCAGCTGTGAGAACTCTGCAATCCGTGGTCATGTGATCACCAAGCTCTCACCCTTAGAGCGACTGGGGGACAGATGCAGCATTGGACTGTTGCTGCATCCACCTAGGTAAGTATGATTTGGGGAAAAGAAAATAAATTCCCATACTTGCAGGGAATGCATTAAGGTAAATAAAGTTTTGGCCTTACAACAGCTTTCACATCCTCCACAACCAGAAGAAGCAGTTGGAGAGAAATACACACCCCATCTTGGTTCAGAAGTAAATAGTGTTTGCTCAAGTTCTTTAATCCATTATCCTTTGTAGCTCTTGAGTATGTTTATCTCTATTGGCAATTTACAATAGATGTCAGCAAATGGGTTTCTTGCATTTTATTTCCTCTGTCACTGTTGCATCATTCGGAGCTTGCCTACACAGTACACAGTTTCAGTCCACTATCATTTCTGAACAATCGTTCTTCTTTGTGTTTGTGTGTGCAAGGGAGAACATCTGCTCTAAGAAGAAAAGTGACAGCTGTCTGCTTTCAAGATTTTAGAAAAGAAAGGAAGTTAACCGGCAAATAATTTTCTTCTTCAAAAACTAGCGCACCCAATGTTAAAATATGTTGAGCCCCTCTACTCCTTTTTGATTTTTTACAAATTGTTTTGGAACTGCACAAACAGCATATTTTCCCTTTTAAGTGTTTCCTTCTTAATACACCTTAGAATTTTTACCCGAACTAGAGGTTAGAGGAAACGTTCTTTTGAGGACACCTGCTTTGGGAGCAACTCTTTGAGAGACGTGCATTCTTAATTTTTTTTTTCTTTTTTGCATTTGTGACATAGTATGTGATGCATTGTAGTTTGCACCATTATCAATATTCTTACATTTCAAATTATGATTTTTTTTTTTTTTTTTTTTTTTTTTTTGCAGTGTTGTGCTTATCCTTTGAAAGACAAATGATACATATATGGCCAAAAATGGCATTCTGAATCCCAAGGAACTGCAGCATGTTATTCCTTTCATGGTAAGATTTTATATACCTAACATTGACGCTCTTGTTAACCTCTTTCCTACTGCTGTTTGTAATAAGAAGATGGTGGCTGTGGCGTTCGGGTGCGGCAGCAGGGTTGGAAAAGGCAGTGTTAAAGTTGATACTGCCTCTAAATTGTATGGTCTGCTTTTTAAATGTGGCCTGCCCCACCTAACGCAGAA